CCCTAAGGTGTATGTGTGGCCGTACAAAGGGGTGTGCGGCCGTACACTCTTCATGTTTATGTCCAAGTTGTCAACTTTAAGGTGCATCAAGGCTAAGATCATGTCCAACTTGAAGATAGGGGTCAAACTCTCACTTTGGAAAGCCTTTAAGGGGGTGTACGGCCAACCTTATGAAGGTGTGCGGCCGTACTCCTTCAAAGATGAAGAACATGATGAAACTTTGCTGAACCAAGGCTTGAATCAAGAGGTCTTTCAAGTATAACAAGCTAGAGAATGGAACACTCACGTTTTTGAAGCTTTGGAGGGTTCACGGTTGAAGAACTTGAGAGAGAATGGAGTAGTGTGCAGCCAAGAGAAGAAAGGAATGAAGGAAGGGGTTCTACTCATATATATAGGGGTGGGTGACCCACCACCTTGAGTGTGCGACCCTGAGGGGGGGTGTACGGCCGCACACCCATGTGCACGGTCGTACACCCATGTGCACGGCCGTACACTCCTCTTGAAGAAGTATATGGCCTGAAATGCTACTTTACGACTTTGATACTTCATCCCTAATCTCAACCTTGGTTGTACTTAAGCTTATAATGCTTAAACGAACTCTTAAACAGTGCTAAATGACAACAGAAACGGGTCTAACATTGATTGAATAAAGTAGTTGTACAGGATAGAAGTTTCAGGTTGTCACAATAACTATCCATTCACATCTGTCCACACAAATTAAGGAGGCTCAGCTAGAAGCCTTGAAACCTGAAAATGTTGCAGGTGAATCCCTGAGAGGGATGGATAAGAACTTGGTAGTCAAGGGTGGCGGAGCCTTATATCTCATGAATCGGATCTGGACACCGAAATACGGTGGTCTCATAGACTTGGTCATGACCGAAGCTCACAAAACTCGATATTCCGTCCACCCAGGTTCAGATAAGATGTATCTGGATCTTAAAAAGTTATATTGGTGGCCTAACATGAAAGCGGAGATTGCTACCTTCGTGAGCAAGTGCCTTACTTGCGCCAAGGTTAAGGTCGAATACCAGAAACCATCAGGTTTATTTCAGCAACCGGAGATACCTGCATGGAAGTGGGAGCGGATCACAATGGACTTCATAACCAAGTTACCCAAGACAACGGGTGGTCTCGATACCATATGGGTGATCGTAGACAGGTTAACAAAGTTCGCACACTTCCTGCCTATCAAAGAAACTGACAAGATGGAGAAACTCACTAGAACATACATTAGGGAGATCGTACGACTGCATGGTATTCCCATATCCATTATCTCTTATAGAGATAGTAGATTCACTTCGAGGTTCTGGCAGTCGCTATAAAGTTCCCTTGGAACTAGGATGGACATGAGTACAGCCTACCATCCGCAAACTGACGGACAAAGTGAGAGGACTATTCAAAATTTGGAAGATATGTTGCGAGCCTGCGTGATAGACTTTGGGAAGGCATGGGATACTCATTTACCCCTTGTCGAGTTTTCCTACAACAATAGTTATCACACGAGCATAAAGGCCGCTCCATTTGAATCCCTCTATGGCCGTAAGTGCAGATCCCCTCTGTGCTAGGCTGAGGTGGGCGACACGCAGTTAGCTAAAGGATGAGTTCCTGACAACACTCTCACAGGTTTGGAAATCATTCGGGAAACAACAGAGAAGATCGTTCAAATTCGTGAGCGATTGAAAGCCTCTAGAGACCGACAGAAAAGCTACGCAGACAAGAGAAGGAAACCTTTGGAATTCCAGGTGGGCGACCGTGTTCTATTGAAGTCTCACCTTGGAAGGGCTTGATACGCTTCGGAAAGCGTGGAAAGCCAAATCCAAGATACGTAGGGCCTTTCGAGATTCTCGCAAGAATTGGCCCTGTAGCTTACAAACTCAAACTACCTCGCGAACTCAGTAACGTACATTCTACTTTCCACGTCTCGAACTTGAAAAAGTGTCTGTCTGACGAGACTCTTGTAATCCCACTCGACGAGATCGAGATCAACGAGAGCCTCAACTTCGTGGAAGAACCAGTAGAGATCATGGACCAAGAGGTCAAGCAAACGAAGCAAAGCCGTATTCCCGATAGTGAAGGTTCGCTGGAATGCCAAGCAAGGACCTGAATTCACTTGGGAGCGCGACGATCAAATGAAACTGAAATATTCTCATCTTTTTACTTAGATATTTGTAATTGCTTAAACTCTAATTTCGGGACGAAATTCTCTCTAACGGGGGATGATGTGACAACCCAAAATTTCTATCTTGTACAATCATTCAATTCAATCAATGTCAGACTCGTTTCTGCTATCTATTAGCATTGTTTAGAGTCTGTTGGAGTGTTCTAAGTCTTATACATTCAAGAATAGGGTATAGGAATGAGTTGCTTAAGTTCATAGTTTTAAATTTGGGCCAAACACTCCTTCAAGAGGAGTGTACGGCCGTACACATGGGTGTACGGCCGTACACCCCCTCATGGCCGTACACTCTCACATATATAAGTGACACTTAGCCATTTTAAACACTTTTCACACCTTCAAGCCAAGAAATCGATTCTCTCTCAACTATCATCGGGTTTTTCACCTAGATCTTCTATAATGTAAGTGTTACTTCCTTTGATTAGTTGATTCATTACACTATCTAGTGAAGATCCATGATTTCATCCATGAAATTACTTCTTTTGGTTAGATCTTCAAGTATTCACCAAGAACACCACGAACACACACTAGTTCTTGGACCTTAAACACCCCTAAAGGCTTCTAATTCGTAAGTACCTCTTCCTATGCTTGTCATACTCTAGAAACACTTGTTATTCATCTTAAAATCGACATCAAATGCATGAACACAAAGAGTGTACGGTCGTACACCCTTCATATGGCCGTACACCCCTTGTTTAGTGCATGTTTGGCCTCAAACTCATGTTATATTGCAACACAAGATCATGGACACTTAGAGGATGATAGATAGAGCCTTAGACCACCTTTTTGGGCATGTTCTTCAAGGAGTGTACGACCGTACACTCCATGGTCGTACACACATGTGGCCGTACACACAAGTGGCCGTACACCACTTGGTCGTACACACACTAGTGTGGTCGTACACCCATTTTATTGCAATCCTTTGTACTTCTAACACTGCAATCTAAGTGTTTCCTAGTCCCCAGGGTATTTTCCTTACATGATTAGTTGTATAAACACTAATTATACCCATATATGTATCATTATATGCTTATTAGGATCCGTTGTGCTCGAGGCTTCACTTGACACTTAGCATCCTATATCGAACATACATTTGTATCACTCACTTCAGGTGAGTTCATACCCCTTAACTTATCTTTTAAATGAATTTTAAATGCTTTTATGGGGAGGAATACAAGTAGAAACATTATAGTTATTATATCAATCACATGTGATTAATAACTATCAAACAAGTGGATTTCTTATATTTCAAAACTTTGTTATCAAACAAACTGCTTCAAATCGTTTTATAAACTCTTTTATATGTTAAATTCTTTATGTAAACTCTTTTTAAACTTATATATTGTCCAAATCATGTCTATATGGATATAGTTATATAAGTAGGGTTGAAAGGACTTAGGACTGATAGCTCGCCTTATCTCCTGTTCCTTGTCTGGTTTTGGACTTAGGGTATCGGTTGTTTGTCCGAATGTCGTTTGAATCTTAGTTATATATTATGTATATGTATATAGATATAAAAGTTATTTCTTTCAGTTCAATACCTTTGGGTAGCAAAGGTGTTCAAACATAATCAGTCATTCAAACAACTTTACTAAGTAAACTATAATTGGTATAGTTTAGGAAGTCACTACTTACTATTTCTAGAACAATGAAACATACAAGAGTCAGTTCATACATGAGTCAGTTTAAACATACTATATACTAGAATAGAGAGAACATACTATATACTAGAGACAGGGAGAACATACTACACTAATACGATAACAAGATAGCATTTATGTGAGATACTACTTCATGGCGCGACAAAATACTGTCGTGTCACGTTTTGTAACCAGAGTCTCCTGGAGGGAGAGCGTGAATTTGTGTATAGATCTATATGGGATTGACCATCCTACACCTTGCTGCTAGCTACAGTGGGACCTGCAGGTCTACGGGTGACGAATGTCATACCATTTCGGCGTCTCGAACGTCGTGTCTTACTAGTCAATCAAGTATGGTTATAATCTTATCACATTTTACTTTAGTTAAACAAACAGGTTTAAGGTAGTTAGTACAATGGTAGTTACTTAGATAAAACTACGGTACAACTTTATTTTCCCTTTTCATTCACATTGTGATCTTTTCACATAAACGGTAATGAAAACTATATTTTGGTAATGATAGTCATACTTTGGGAAAACAATCACTTTTATCAGAGAGCAAACTTACAAAACAGTCGAGTCTTGGTAGAAGACTACTTTAGTAGAAAATATAGGATTTTCTAGGAAGTATTCAAACATTTACAAACATCAATTACAAACTTTTACATCAAATATTTACAAACATTTCATTCAAACCTATACAAACAATGACATTAAATAATTATGAACTCACCAGCTTTAATGTTGAGCTACGCTTTCAAAATAACTTGTATTCTCAGGCTACCAGTAGACAGGTACCGATGACCAGGTTTTGAGAAGACATAGCACGTTCAAGACTCGTCTTTTATTTTGATTTAGGAATGGCAACGGGGCGGGTTCGGGGTGGGGCAGCATATCCCATACCCGAACCCGATATTTAAATCATCCCCGAACCCGACCCGAAACCTGACGTGTTTCTTATCTGGGCGCCCCGTCGGGGCAGAAATTTTTCCCGACCCCGAACCCGAACCCGAAACCCGATATAGACCCGGAAACCCGAACCCAAAACCTGAAAATGGAAAAAAAAAACTACAATTAAACAATAAGTAATTAAAACCTTACAAAGGCTTAAACTACCAAATAAGTTCTAAACAAACTAATTAAACAAAATAGAAATTAGCAAAGTCTAATATTGTAACAAAAACAACCATGTCACCAAAGTACAAAATATGAAAAACTAAATTCATCACAATATTACATTACATTTAAACATTAAAAAAACTCCCAATCAAGCAACGTCATCCAAACTTGTTGTCCTGTGATTTCTTTTCTTTAGTGCTTTCCTACAAAATGTTAAACAAACTCAAAATCAAATCAAATCATCTAAAGTTTTGAACTATAAAATGTAATATTCTTGACTACTTGCAGTTGGAGCATGATTTTGACTCTTTTAATTCATATCCCCTGAAAATTAACAAGCAATGTGATATCAGAAATCAGATTCAACAGTTTGAAGGTGTGAATATTCAACATAACTCAATTCAGAACTCATATTCATCATAAATCAGAACTCAATTCAGCATAAAAGGTGTGAATATTCAACAGAACCGTTCTAAACAGATCACATATACAACAAACATGCTTTTCTACAACATTGAGCTTGAAAAAAGAAATTACAGATCACATAACAACAAAGAGATTATCAGATTAAAATTAACAGCTCTCAAATCACACAAATACACAACAAAATGAACAACAAAACAAATTACATATAACAAAAATACAAAATCATTCAATATGACTGGTAAACAAAATACAAACATACCCGAGTCCTTAGAGTTGGTTGCGCCGGAGTGGAGGCTACCCGCTTCCTTGAAGCGCTGGTGACTGGTGAGTACAACAGAACTCGATCGATGTTATAGCTGGCGTAATAAGACGACAGGCGAGTGACCTTCGACTGCAACGAGCGACTAGCGATTCTCCAAATGGGTTTGCTTCGATTGCAACGAGCGACTAGCGAGGCTGCGAAGTCCGTTGTAGGCTGGAAGGCTTCGATTATGCGGTTCGATTGTACGATTAGGGATAGAAGTCTTCGATGAAATGGAAGTGGAACGAGCTTACACAGAGGATGAGAGGAGATTTTGATTTTTTTCAATTTGGAAATTTCGATGTCGGCTAGAAGAGAAGGGAAATTTGGATAGTGGTAACTAGTAACGTGATTTTAGGGTTTGAGTCTTTCAGGGGCTGAAATATATATATATATATATAGATATATATATATATATATATATATATATATATATATATATATATATATATAATATATATATATATATATATATATATATATATTCGGGGCGGGGCGGGTCGGGGCATGCATATCCCACTCCCTGCCCCGAACCCGAACTTCAAACCCGATAACGACCCGATACCCGATAAGCTCGACCCGCCCCGCCCCGAAATCTTCGGGTTTCGGGTTTTCCCGTCAGGTTCGTGTTTTTTTGCCATCCCTATTTTGATTCATATTTTGGTGTCTTATAAACTACGTAACACACTTGTATTAAAATTATATTATTAATGTAATGGATGATGTTGTTGCTTGTTTACTATTATGCATTGTTGTGATACTGTACATGACGTCCTCCGCCCCCGAACGTTTCCGCCGTTCTGGTTTGGGGGTGTGACAGAAACTTTACCCATCAAGACCATGGGAAGGACCATATATGAGCTTTGGAGCTCTTGTAGTTGAAGGAAATGACTTAATGGTTTAAGCTGCCCAAATTATCACCATGACATGGTTAAGGTTACCACGACGTGGTGACTTGGCCCAGACCCGTCTGTTTTGTCGGTTTGTGGCCACGACGTGGCGACTAGCTGGGTTGACTTTTGACCCATGTCTTTGACCAAGTTTGGCCTAAGGGTATTTTTGGTACTTTGAGTGGTAATTGAGATTGGTCACTATTTGATGTATAGGTGATTGGTAGAGCTGATATTCGGAGTAGTGTCCTATTTAGTTATATGTTCAGACTGAGAGGTGAGTTTTCCTCACTGCACTTGTGGGTCGAAGGCACCAATGTCGGCCCAATGAGTTATGTATCATGGTTTAGAGGATGTTGCTATGTTGTATTGATCTGCTAGAGCTGAGTCCTGGTATATAGGATGTTGTTATGTGATAGTGATCTGTAGATCTGTCCGTGAGTATGTTGACAAGTTATATGATTATCTGCTTACTGGATATATGTTATATGTTATGTATATGTCGACATTTTATGGTTGGGTTGAGGTGATGCTGCTTTGTGAGGGAGCCAACAAATCTGGGAACAAGCCATACATAAGCTGTGGGCCCGAAATGCAAGCCAGACTTATGATGTGGGCTCGGGAGCAAGCCATACATGAGCTGTGGGCCGGAAAGGCAAACCAGACTCATGCTGTGGACTCAGGGGTAATCAAATCTGTTAGCTATGGACCCAATATGCACATTGTTATATGTTGGTGTGGTGGTATGTTAGGGGAACTCACTATGCTTTGGCTTACAATTTCAGTTTTATGTTTCAGGTACTTCAGATGAACGTGGGAAAGCAAATGCGTGATCGTGCACATATTTTTGGTTTTGATGATACCGATTTGGGACACTCTGATATATGATTTCTACTTTTAAGAACAATATTTTGTAAATGTTTGGTTTTGATATGGGTTTTGACTGAAAACAATCATTTCTCTTGATTTAAAAATGAAAATATTTACCTTGATTTTTAGGATGTTACATTTTGCTACAAACTATTTCAGCAAAATCCCACCGAACTCGATTTTAGAAAAATCATTTGTTGCTGAAATCGATTTCAAATAATTTTGAGTTTTCTAGATTTCAAACCCACCAAAACCGTTTGTTACTTTAGGGAAGTAGGATGATGGGAGAGTGGTGTCGCCGGAGAAGAGACGTTGATGGGGATGCTTCGTTGATGGAAATGAGAAGAGGGTTTTTCTCAGTTCAGACTCATTTTTTTGTTGAATGGTTCAGATGGGTTTGGAGGCTAGATATCTAGAAGTCGAAAAGGTTCACTTAAAGCAAACTATAAAGCGATGTTGTGGGTTGGCAGAGGTGGTGGGGGTGAGGATATGGCGATAGAGCAAGCGTGGGCATAATCGTTGTTTCCTCCGTGAGGTTTCTGTAGTTTCCGATCTCGTCTGGCTTGTCGGAGATGTCGCCAGAGCTTGCGATCGTCGGAAATGTTGTCGGATGTGAAACTCAAACCTCCAAAACAGATTTTACATGCTATTGCAATACCCAAAAAAACAAGTTTAAGGATTAATAGTATATAAAAAAAAAAGCTAAATGAGCAAATATGTACAAAATGATTACCGTTCAAATCATTATCTCTTATAACAGTTACTTAAAAATAAATGCACGAATTTGTCTTGAAATTATGCTAAAAACCACATTTTCATAAATAACCTAAAAAATATTATGCTTTAAGACAAAGCCCTCTTATCATTGGTGGAGAATTCCGGGACCCGGTCCGGCGAACAGTAACGGTCATCACACAACAAGCAACGGTGTCCACGGTTGGATTATTCATCCCAACCTCCGAGCAAACCCATTTCTTAATCAAACAAGCCGCGCCATAATTTCTCAAATAGATTAGCGATTGCTTCTTCTAATTTGATCACACTCATCGATTTCCCCTAAATCGTTCATGGCTCACGACGTAGAAAAATCAACCTCCGTCCCACCAATAGAACCGCCACTCGGCTCCACCGTGATCCCAGTAGTGAACAAGCTTCGTGAAGTACTGGCAAAGGTCGGTGGGGGAGATTCGGAATTAGAGTTGCCGCAGGTGGCTGTCGTTGGCAGCCAAAGCAGCGGGAAGTCGAGTGTTTTAGAAGCCCTTGTCGGCCGTGATTTCTTACCCAGGGGTTCCGATATTTGCACTCGTCGTCCCCTGCTTTTGCAGTTAGTACGGAGTAATGAAGAAGCCGGTGAATTTGGCGAGTTTTGGCACTTGCCAGGGAGGAAGTTCTTTGATTTCTCCCAGATTCGTGCAGAAATTCAGGTATTTGGGTTTAGATTATGGCGTTTTAATTAGAACCAACCTCTGAGATTTTGCTACCATTACACAATGGTTTACTTCATTTTTGTTTTGTGAAGGCTGAAACTGAGAGGGAAGCAGGAGGTAATAAGAGGGTTTCAAACAAACAGATTTGCTTGAAGATCTATTCACACAGAGTTCTTGACATGACATTGGTTGATCTTCCTGGAATGACAAAGGTTCCAGTAGGAGACCAGCCATTGGACATTGAAGCACAAATCCGTGAAATGATACTCTCCTACATTAAGCAGCCACGTTGTATAATCTTAGCCATTACACCTGCAAATTCAGATTTGGCAAATTCAGATGCACTTCAAATGGCAGGGATAGCTGATCCTGATGGTAATTATCAAATATACTATGCTTTGTTGCTAGATTGCTCTATCTGCTGTATTGTTTTGTCTCTAAAGCTCTTATATACCCTTTCTTTTTCAGGTCATCGTACAATTGGTGTAATTACAAAGGTCAACATTTTCTTCTTCTTTACTTTTGTGAACTTTATATTGTTTTCTTGTAAGTCATATCATTATCAGCATTTCTTTGTCTCTGTAACTACAGTTGGATATTATGGACAGAGGCACTGATGCCTGCAATCTTTTGCTTGGCAAAACAATTCCTCTTAAACTTGGTTATGTTGGTGTTGTCAATCGTTGTCAAGAGGTAACTCATTACACTTATTCTTGCATACATACAAATTACAAAGCTTGTAGATTTCATGTTTTGAAACCTAATTAAATTTGATTTGAGAAAAGTTTGTGAATAGTTTACAACCTTCTAACATCATTTCTATGTTCACAGGATATTAAGCTTAATCGTGGAATTCATGATGCACTTGTATCTGAAGAGGCTTTCTTCCAAAGTCATCCAGTAGGGCCCAATTGTTACCCCCCCCCCCCCCCCCCCCCTCTCTGCATACACACAGTTAAACATATTCTTTTGTTGATGTATCACAGGTGTATAATAGAGTGGCAGATTGCTGTGGGATCCCTAAATTGGCCAAGAAATTGAATAAAGTATGAATTTTTACTAACTTCACTATATGGACTAATGTGTTAACATAAGTTTAATTGTTATTTATTTTATTTTTTTCAGATTTTTGTACAACATATCTTGAAAATGCTTCCAGATTTGAAGTCTAGCATTCGGTCTAAATTAGCTATTGCTTCCAAGGAGCATTCTAATTATGGACACCTTCCACGAAAAGTATGTATAATAATATCATATTAAATTCCATTTTTGGCATATATTTTTGTACATACTGAATTTATTTTCTTTGAAGCCTGATCAAGGATCATTGGTTCTAAACATTCTTCTCAAGTACTCCAAAGGTAACAAGTATTGTCACTCATATTACCATTATTCACTTTCCTAATAATAATATTTAGAAAGATGTTCATATTCATTACAGCTTTTGTGTCAATGGTTGATGGAAGAAATGAAGAAAAGTTAACATCTGAGGTGTATGGTGGTGCAAGAATTCATTATATCTTCCAATCAATATTCGTGAGCCGATTGGAAGTAAGTTATAATTATAAATTTAACAATTTGTATGCTAATTGTGATTATTATTTCTATAAAATTATATATATTTTATTTCATATATCAATTCTCACAGGAAGTTGATCCATTTGAGAGATTAACTGATCAAGACATCCGCACTGCAATCCACAATGCAACTGGTCCTAGATCCGCTTTATTCGTGCCTGAGGTTTTAATTAATTAATTAATTATTTAATTAATTTATATTAATAATTTAACCTTTTAATACATTTATAGGTTCCATTTCAAGTTTTGGTTCGAAGACAAATAGCTCGGTTGTTGGATCCTTGTCTTCAATGTGCTAGACTTGTATACAATGAATTAGTAAAGGTATTATCTTTTTTTCTTTTTCTTTTTCTTTTTCTTTTTTTTATAATTCAGAATAAATAAATATTTGGGAAAATATTTCAGATCAGCCATAGTTGTCTAGTGCATGAACTACAACGGTTTCCTGTTCTTAAGATGCACATTAATGACATTGTTGGGAGTTTTTTGTTTGAAGGTCTTCAACCTTCACAAACAATGATTGGACACTTAGTTGAAATGGAGGTATTAGTATTTAATCTATTACTTTTTTTTTTTTTTTTAAATTCTTAATTTCCATATTAATGGTTAAATGTTTTATATGGTAGATTGATCATATAAACACATCACATCCGAATTTTATTGGAGGAAATAAAGCAGTGGAGGTTGCTTCACATCAAGTTAGGTCATATAGGTTGGGTTCAACAACACCTAGGACAAGGGTAATATCGTCCATATGTTAAAAAATAGTTTTTTCTACTTCTTTTTTTGTTGAAAGATATGAAATACAACATTTGGAAACAGGATGGGGAAGATTCTGAAGCTTCCGGAAGCAATCGGAGATCTACTGCTATTGTTGTTAGATCTCCTACCAATGGAATAGTTCCTGATCAGGTTTTTATTTATTTATTTATTTATTATTTATGCATCACTTTTTTTTTTTCACTAAAAAATTCTACTTAATAGGGAGTAAGATCGGTTGCAGATATTGAGAAAAACGGATCACCTGGTAAGATGCAAACTTCAATCACTAGCTTTGGAATGGAATCATTCATTCCATTCCATTCCAACAATTCCTTATATTAACAGATTTTCAATTTTTAGGAAGTGAGAGGAGTTCAAATTGGATAATTTCGTCATTTTTTCGTGGGAAAGAGGTTCAAAGCCGAGGAATAGATGCTTCCGGAAGCAACTCTGACAATGGAATCCTTAATCACAAGGAGCCTGGTTCATCTATAATACATCTTAGAGAGGTGTGCCAATTCCATTCCATTCTTTCAATTCCATTCTATCAATTCCATTCTTTCAATTCCATTTTATAAAGTTTTTTGTGTGTGAACAGCCACCATTAATGTTGAATTCATCAGAAATGCATTCAGAACATGAAGCTGTTGCATTGGCAGTTACAAAACAGTTATTGGAATCATATTATACAATTGTTAGGAAAAAGATCCAAGATTCTGTTCCTAAAGCAGTCATGCACTTTTTGGTCAGTGATTTTATTTTCTTTGATATTTTAATTTGGTAAATAATAATATTTGACTGATTTTATATCCAGGTGAATCACACAAAGAGAGAGCTATGCAATGTCTTAATTGAGAATATATACAGGTGAAATTTGAAAAGGAGGAGATATTTCTACTTGGTTTTTGAAATTTACTTTAAATAAATTTAACAATTTTTTATATCTTTTTTATTAACAGGGAGAGTCTTTTCCAAAACTTGCTACAAGAAGCTGATGATGTATCTTTAAAGAGGAAGCATGTTGAAGAAACTCTCATAGCTCTTCAAGAGGCCTCAAAAGTAAGTTTATTGAATTATTAAATTGTTTTTTTTTTGTGTATTTACTAAAAATAATTTTTTTTTGTTTGATTAGCTATTAGATGAGTTACCAATCGAATCTGCAACAGTCTAAACATAAGGGTAAAATGGTCATTTGTTTGTATTCAGACAGTTGATTCGGTCAAAAAAAAGAAAGAGTCATGTGTATACAAACGTTTTATCCATACAAGAGTTAAGAGGACAAGGTCATAATCGACTTTTCCTAAGCAGAATGAGTGAGCAATTTGAAGGTAGGCTTTGATCTTTGGCATTATATTCTTATAATGTTGTACATAATTTTTTATTATGACCAAAACATTTCAAGGTTTTGTAGTCGATTGGATGTTATTGTTGTATTGGGTTTTTTAAAATAATTGTAACGAAGTTATTACAGTTGACAAAAGCATAGTGAAAATACGAATCACGATACTTGATAAGTGATTATATTTGTTTATTGTAATGTAACATGATAAATATATGATTTTTTGAAAAATTCTATTTACATATTTAAAATGCCCAACAATGACGGGGGTAAGAGGGTAAATTGGTATGTGCGTTGATGGTTATGAAAAATAAGAAAAGTAACTAAATAAGGTTAAGGTCGATATGGGTTTTAAGGGTAAAATAATCGTAAAAGGTAAGCTGGGTTTTACGCCTAATAAACATATTTCAAATAGGCTATAAGCATTTTCGAAAAAAGAAAAAATAAAACAACTAGTTAAAAACTGTTTAATTAAGTCGATAAATATTTTTATATTAATTATATTCTAACATTTGAAATGTTTATTTTTTTAATGACAAATCATCTCAAAGTTAAAGCATTTGATATTCTTGGAGCAACTTGTATATTCCATTTTATGTTTTTTATACAATAACTATACAATGAATCAATGATCATAATTCCATTGATGATTATTGTAATTCAAGCCTTGTATCATTGGCAAGCTGGTACTTCCGAAGAGTGTGTTAAAAATATGATTTCTTTTAAGTTGTCAATCTTGGAGTATAGTTTTGGTATATTAACTTAAACTAATCATCATAAATAAGCTTATTAATAAAAATATATATGTTTTTTTAATTTATAAAAAATAACTATTTATTCTGAATGTTTAATTCTATACTTGAAAATGACATGTTTTGATAAGAATATGACTTTTGGACACAATTTTTGTTTCCGTTGGTTAATAACCACAAAAATTCTTGTTTCTCTTGAGATATTTTGATATTTGCATAAAATTTTCAAAGAATTTTCTTTATTTATATATGAAATGTCCATTTTGAAATGTTTAGTATAATCGTTTTTACTCAAATATATAATTTTAATAGTTTGTGTCGTATATATTTTCAATTTACTATGTTTTTTTAAGTATTTATTAGATTTTAATTGTTCATCGAATTCCGAATTTGTTCTTGAAATTCATAATTACTTTTTTTGAACTTCGGAATCCGTAATGACATTTTTTGTCAGGAAAGTCACTTTTGTCGCTGTAGAATACTCACTTGTTGGTTATTCTACATTTTTATTGATTACTAGGTTAAAACCCGTAGAAAAGACAACAAAGAAAAACATTATTTATAATTTAAACCGGTAATGAAAAATCAAATATTTATAAACCAGCCCAACTACAATGATTTAAAACATGAAAATTAATATAGTTACAACTGGAGCCTAATTTTAGATTACTTCTATGAATATGCAAAAATCTCAAATAATATGAGACTTTTAACTTAAGCAATCAGAGGAAAACGTTTTTAAACATTAATCCATCGAAGTACAACTGACAAAAAATACTATATATATATGGTAAAATAAGTTGCAACGTTAGCATAAAATTAGAAAGTAATATTGTAACATTACCATGTTAACATAAAAAGTACGAAAACAGAAAAAACATGTAAAAAGGTGAAACGACATTGGTAATATGAATAACATATTACTGTTAATAGAAAGAAATGGCCTGAAAAGTGTTCGAACATACAACCGATATCCATGCTCTTCATCCTGGACTTGAGGAGCCAGGCCCCCACAGTGGACTTATCACGTAATAAAGTCGGAAATATTGATCCTGACAGTGATTTATCGATTAAAATCAATTTAATCAAGTGTAGTCATGTTAAATACCAAATAGAAAGTGCATGTCAAAAGAGAATGAAAAAAAAGTAAATTACGTTTTCAGTCCGTGTGTATAACCAATTTTTATAAATTTGGTCTCAAAAAGTTTATTTTGCAACTTTAGTCCTTATTTGAGGTTCTTATGACATCATTATACATTGAATTTTATAAAATTTTACATGTTTTGATATCTCAAGTACTACAAGTTCATCAATGCTATTCCCAGGCAACACATAAAAGTGAAATCAAAGAGAGAAAAAGACCAAATTAGACACAAAAAGTGACAAAAAAACAACAATGTCATACCTCAGCAGCTCCATGAAATTTAGTTAGTGGATCCACTAACTATATGTACTACAGATATTATACCAGCCAAAACCATCGATGCTAAAACAAAACAAAGTTTCAAAAAAAATTAGTAAATGGGTACATACTATATATACCTCCTTTATCAAAATAGGTCATGTAGTTTATCTCTGGTGCTTGTTGTTTTATAATACAATGCTAAAATTGGTTGGATTTTTCAGATTACAATATGCCTTGATAAGAAAAATATAAAGCATATAAATGAAATAGTATAATTATAAAAGTAACATACCAATGACTTTTAGATCAGGATACCGAGGTCATTGCATTATGAATGGAACATTATCATTGAATAATATGCACCATGTCTGCTCACGCATACAACATAAAAAATAATTCATTCACCCAATAAGAAACCTTTATTTGAACATGTAATAAGATGAAACAGGTGGAATTTCTCCAGTTGACTTTAATTGTGTAATAACACATGTAATGTGTAGTAAAACATGACATTGTGGATCTGCACACTGAATCATGAACTATGTTTTCAGTGGACTGCCTCATGGACAATGCCCTTTTCTATCCCTAATCTCCTCTTTTGGTGTAATCTACTACTATCAAAGACAATGTCCATAAATTATTGATTCAATTACCCCTGCATGTGAAATTTTTCAGTAACAACAAAATCATATAAATAGTTGTAGGAACCACTGTTAAAAAAACTTACTTGTAAGTGCCACCAATTATCTTCGTTACATCTTCCTTTCGGATAATGTTGATCTTTAATATCTGATAATAGAAACCAAGTTGAATTTCCACATAGTCAATTCCTAATAACTCCTAAATCTAGATACCTCTAAATCCAAACTTCTCAATCAATAACAAAAAAGACCCACAAAAACGTAAAATATGGAACACAAAGCCCAATGGAAAATCTCCTACAAAGAAACAGAGAAATTGAAAGACACATCATCCAAAAATAAGAAAACATAATTTTTTTTTACCTCTGGCAGTTTCATGTTTGATTTCTGCTGGCTCAAAGATTCACTTGATTAATTTTGGTTGGGGGAAAAGCTTGAAACATGATGCTTACCAGAGGATTAGGGTTCATAAATAAGAGAGGATGAAACAACGATGTTCCACCTAGTCCCAGGCCTCAGGATACCATCATTTTCCGTTTGGCAGTCCAATCCAAAGTCAAAATCAAACATTACCCTAAATAATAAAAAATTGGGAAACAATTTACCTGATTGAGATGGTATAGTGACGAAATTTGAGGAATCAATTATCTATTTCTATCATTTTGAGGTTGGATTCGTTTCTAATGCGTCGTTCCCGACTACTTTCAGTCTTCAGCGTGAGATTTCTAGAGAAGAAGATTGTGGAAACCGATGGAAATTTTGGAGTTGATGTAGTGAGATTATCTTCGTTATTTATGCCGATCTCTTGCCGATAAACCGGAAAATCTAGGAAATTAGGGAGCACAATCCTCGCAAAAGAAGTTGGCAAAGGTTGAATAGTAAACTCAATTAGAAATGAGGACCAAGAAATTCAGGTTGCTCGTAAAAATCTTGAAAATAGTCAAAATAAGATAGTATTTGTTACCAAACAATTCATTAATTCAAACCTGAATTACTATTGTTTCCGGAAAACATGAAATTTAAATTTAAATTTAAATGTTATATGAAACCAAAAAATATAGTAAGTTGAAAAAAATATCGGGATTACAATTTAACTTTAATTTAATTTAATGTTTATAAGAATAAGAATTATTCATAAAATAACACGTGACAGGTTAACATGATAGAAAATAGACATGTGGCACATTAAAGGTTTTGTTTATTAGAGGAGGTAGATTTCCTTTATATTTACATCAAATTATGGTTAATTTATCTAACATCCCTTTATTTTTCATCCATTAATACCTAAGTTCACCGACTCTTATTTAGTTGTAAGTATATTTATTTTTATAATCTTTAAAATTACTTAAACTATGTTATAAACCAATACTCACATTAATAACTAATGGATTTCATCACGTGAATTTGGAAAATAAATCATTTTAAACATATGATAGGAGCATCTTTTAACTTTACATTTCCAGATTCAACCGACTAACTCTAATCCGTTGTCCTCTCCTTGAATCTACACTCTCCTTTAATAGTATCCTAAAAAATCCTTGCCAATCCCAACAACCAATACAACTTATGCAGATTACTCATCCCATAAATGCCGGTAATGAAGCCTCCTCCATTGCAATTATTAGGAAGTATGCCATTGAGGGGTAGTTATTTTTCCAAAATTTTAGAGAAAGTTGGTTCCAGACTGGAGATCCATCATACATGTCAATGACCGAAGGAATCAAAGAGTACATATGGTTACACAGTCTCATTTAGAGTCTTGGTTTGAAAGTGGATAAACCTATCTTGCTTTGTGACAGTCAAAGTGACGGGTGTCTTGCAAAGACTCTGGTCTATCATGAGAAGACAAAACATATATTAATGTAAGGGTAAATTTCATCAAGGATGTTTTGGAATAAGAAATGTTTTCTATTCAAAATATAGATATCAATGAGAATGTAGCTGATATGTTGACAAAGTCGTTGCCCACAGAGAAGTTCAAGCTTTGTTTGGACTTAGTAGATGTTCACAAGAGTTAAGTCCCTTCATGGAGAATTAGCAGGTTAGAGAGGAAGTTATTAGTTTATGTAGTCTGGAGTATTCGAGTCAAAGTGGAGATTGTTAAATGTGACTTGAGAAATAAAGACTAATAGATAGCTGATGGGTAACTAGCTGATAGGTAGCTGGGTGATTGGTAGCTAGCTGACAGTCCGTTGTCGATAGCTAGCAGAATGGAGTCCCGGTACGGTTTTAACTAGGGTTTACGTTATACTTTGGCTATAAATAAAGACCGATATCTACGATTTCATGGTGTATCAAATCGTACTGTACTGTAATACCATGTTCAAGCTTGTAAATAAAAATATTCCCTCCTACTTGTAGATATAGGTCTTATTGACGGAACAACATAAATATTATGTGTGTGATTATGTTCTTGTTTTCTTCCTGACATTAAAAGTACGAAAATAATGTGGGATTTTTGATTTTAGGTTTTAAATACTATGAGCCTATGGGCCAAAATCGATGTTTATATCTCGAGATCATAGTTAGTAGGGACGAAAACATATATGGTGTTCCTCATCTGCTATTTTGATGACTATTTTTGAAAAATAGTTAATTTCTTGCTAAAACTTGAACATCATTAAAATATATATATATATATATATATATATATATATATATATATATATATGTTTTTAATCATAGTCATTGATTTTTTTAATCAAATGATTGTGATCAAGGTTAAAGAATTTGGTTTTGTTTTAAAATTCATTTTATATACAATAAAATATATAACAGTTTCATCACAAAAAACACATTTCACAATGTCCACTGTTTCGCAAAGTCCATTGTTTCAAAAGGCACACTCACATGAAATAAGCATTTGGTATAGAATGCTATTTGTGATGTAAGGATATATATATTTTTGCTATATTGTTTGATAACCATATAGTAATTTATGCTATTTTCTTTTTATGATCTTTAGTTGTTTCTAAGTCCTTTTAAGAAAAAAAAGTTAAAGAAAATATAAAGAAATGAGGGAAAAAAATAGTATTTTTAGGTTTTTAATAAAAGGAAGTAAAAAAAAAAAAGAAAAGTATTAGTAATTTCTCCAACAGATTTTGAAAGAAAATAATCCTATACAAATATAAGAATGTATCATTGGTAATTACTGATTTTATCCTTAAATCATTAGTAATTACTGATTTTACCCTTAAATCTAATATAAAATGATTACGAAGCTTTAGCTTTATAATCACAATTTTCTTCAAACACATTTCCTATACAGTGTAGTCTCCGTTGTTGAATAAATCAATTCCTTTCTTTTTATTTTCTCTCTATTTTTTATTCCCCTTTTATTTTCTTTATTAAACTCAAAAACACTTATAGCGGCAACTGATAACACGACACAAAACTGAAATCGAATTCGTGTTCGTGTTCGTGTCGAGAGTAAAAAACATAATGTCGTATCGTGTTTGTGTTCGTGTTCAAGATTCGATATAAATTAACATGATTTAGCATTTGTTTGCCGTGTTATATATAATTAAGTATTAATTAAATAAATTAAATTGTAATTTTTATTATATTTGTCGTGTCTTGTCGTTTTTTAATTGATTTATTTTTGTGTTAGTTAAAAAAACACGACATCATGTTGTGTCGTGTGCATATTATCCAAATACACAAAAACACAGTATGATTGACTGATTTGTCACCTATAAACACTATATTAATCAAAAAATTATAAATAAATAATCACGATGTATTAATCAAAGATACGAATTTAGAAAATAAATTATTTTAATCGGTGGAGCTGGTATAGATCAATGCATCTTTGAACTTTACAATTTCACACTCAACGCTACTCCGCTGTGGTCTCCCTGAATCTACACTCGCCGTTAATAATACCGCGAAAAATCCTCGCCGGTGCCGGCAACCTATACAACTTCTGCGGATTACTCATCCCACGAATGTCGGCGGCGAAACCTCCTTCGTCGCAATCACTACCATCTTTCACCTCCATCTCTACAAAACAAGGATTGATTTTAATCCTTTCAACCCTAACCCTACTTACATTCACTTACGTCTCCTTCAGCTCCTTAGGTTCCGGTCTCCAATACAACTACTCTTATTCTCCCCCTACAACAACAGTAACATCTGTTTCCACATTGAAGGTATACGCTATTTCGTTAACTTGATTTGTTCAGATCTTTGTATTGTATGCAATAATTCTTACACTTTTGGATTTTGAAATGGTAAACAGGAAGATTTGGAAGTGGAGGATGCTGCAAGTCGAAATCCGGATGGGTTTTCGGATGTATATCATTCCCCGGAGGTATTTAAGTTGAATTATGCAGAGATGGAGAAGAGATTTAAGGTTTATATATATCCAGATGGGGATCCAAAGACCTTTTATCAAACTCCGAGGAAGCTCACTGGGAAGTATGCCAGTGAGGGTTATTTTTTCCAGAATATTAGAGAGAGTCGGTTCCGGACTGAAGATCCAGATCAAGCTCACTTGTTTTTCATACCAATTTCATGTCATAAGATGAGAGGAAAGGTGCGTTGATCTTAGTATCTTACTTCTTTTCTGCATCTTCTCTGTTTATGGATCAATTGCATTATGAGATTTCTTATGCAAATAAACCACTACAAATTAGATATGGTGTATTATGATCTTGTTAGTAATTGCCAGATTCAAGTGATCTTTTGCAATGAAATGCAGGGAACTTCATATGAGAACATGACTATAATCGTCCAAAATTATGTTGAAGGGTTGATATCAAAGTATCCATACTGGAACAGAACCCTAGGTGCTGATCATTTCTTTGTCACTTGCCATGATGTGGGTGTAAGAGCAACTGAAGGACTTCCACTTCTTGTAAAGAATTCAATAAGAGCAGTGTGTTCTCCAAGTTATGATGTTGGATTTATCCCTCACAAAGATATTGCTCTTCCTCAAGTACTCCAACCCTTTGCTCTTCCACGTGGTGGTGGAGATGATATTGAAAACAGGTTCCCATTTTGATCTTGATTTTAATTTTAGTTTATTCTTTCTCATTTACAATAGAAATTGGTTGATCATTATACATTCTTGTCATGTTTTTCAATCTAGGACTACACTTGGTTTCTGGGCTGGACATAGGAATTCAAGAATCAGAGTGATTTTAGCAAGAACATGGGAGAATGACACTGAACTTGACATTTCAAACAATAGAATTGATAGATCAACTGGTCCTCTTGTATATCAAAAAAGATTTTATAAAACCAAATTCTGCATCTGCCCTGGTGGGTCCCAGGTGAATAGTGCTCGTATTGCAGATTCAATCCATTATGGCTGTATTCCAGGTAGACATTCTTTCATCATTAAAACAAAAAGTTTCCACCTTTTATTGTTATTTATCTAATTGGTTGATTAATTTGCAGTAATTCTTTCTAATTACTATGATCTTCCATTCAATGATATTCTTGATTGGGGAAAGTTTTCACTCATACTCAAAGAGAAAGATGTGTATGATCTAAAGAAAATCTTGAAGGACATATCTAATCAACAATTTGTCACTCTCCACAACAATTTAGTAAAGGTGCAAATTTTTTTTTTTGACCCTTTTGTGAATAAGAAATGGCTAAATAAAGAAAGTCTGTTTTACCCTTACAGATTCAGAAGCACTTCCAATGGAACACACCTCCAATCCCTTATGATGCTTTTCATATGGTGATGTATGATCTATGGCTGCGTCATTCTGTCATCAAATACTAGAAAAGTCAGGTTTGCCCTTTTACAGAAAATTGTTGTTTTAAAACCTTAATTACTATAGTAAACATTTTTTCATTTTTTTGGACTTGTCATATGTTTACAAACATGTCCAATGTCTTGATTCTAATCCTTTGTAAATTAAGCCTTTTTTTTTTCTTGTTGTTTTTTTGTCTCTAATTGGTTGAATAATTTGCAGTAATTCTAGTAGAGACTTAAAAAGGATAGAGTAGATTGGTTTGCTTCACTTATGAACTTGACTATGGCTTTTAGATAGTGTTGTTTCATACTAGACTTTTATAAAAAAAAAAGAAAAAAAAAGACTTCTACACAACATGAATTGAAATTGAGACAAAATTGAAATCGAATTTGTGTCATTTCTAGTGTAAAAAACACAACGCCATGTCGTTCATGTTCAAACTTGCCACCCTTTTTGACACTTTCACATGTTGAGCAATCTGGATGACCTAATACGAATCCAAAATGATGAATCGTATAAATAAATTGGTGAATTAGTAAACTTTTTTGATTTGATGAATCGATGCTTGGTGTCCTGAAAAAAAAAAAAATAATAATAACAAACAAACTCTACCCGTTATAAATTAAGGGTGTGAATTTGAGTAATAATGTCATTTTTTGTTTGACATGATACGACAAAGTTTTATGTATGAATACGACGTAATAGAACAAGAAGTTGTGTTTTTGTTTATTTATTTATTTTTTAATTTTTTACCGACAAGAAAACAAACAAATTAAAACATGACAAAGATAACGTAAATAACTATTAGTTTATTTAATTCATACTCAATTACATGAGTATCAAAAATATATCATAGGAAACCAACAAACATTTTATGAACAACGAAGAAAGTTAGTTATCAATATGTTTGGTAGTCTACATGTTTGGCTAATAGTGTCTTACCAATTGATTAATCATGGTATAAAAATTTAAATACTATGGTAATATATATATATATATATATATATATATATATATATATATATATATATATATATACACACACTAGGGAAATGTAAAGAATAAATTTTAAAAACATTCCTAATTAAAAAAAAGAAAGCACAATGTTATAGTTGTACACATTTTCCAAAGCACAATTCTTTATAAAAAAGTATGACAAAACTTCATAAATGGTCGTGTGGTTTCACAAAATCTGAAGTTTAGTAATTAAGTTCAAAAAACCTCACAAATGGTCCATGTGGTTTGCAAAAATGGTCCCTGTGGTTGTCAAAATTATATGGTTTTGGTCCAAAAAGATTTGGTGGTGCACCAGTGGTCCAATTTTGGATACCTTGTGCGGATTTGGTCCCTATGTCGTTAACTTTAACAGGTTGACTGTTAACTTTTTCAAATGACTATTTTACCCTCAGAGACCATTTCTGCAATTGAGTCTTTTTATCAAACCGTAGGGACCATTTATGCATATATACTTTTTAACTATTGAAGTATTATATAACAGTTTTATTTAATTATTTTTTTTTAATTTCTTTTTATTGGATTAATATTTTTTATTGAATTATTATATATTAATAAATATTATTTTTAATATATAATATTTAATATATTAATAATATTATTTTATTGGAGTATTGATTTCTTTTAATTCTTTTTTAATTTGTTTTTTAATTTCTTTTTTATCTGATTAAATCTTTTTTATTGGGTTATTATATATTATTAAATATTATTTTTAATATTATATATATATATATATATATATATATATATATATATATATATATATATATTAATGAGTATTACTTTATGAGATTATTAACTTCTTTTAGTTATTTTCTTTTAATTTCTATTGTATTAATTCTTTTTTGTCGGACCGAGTTTTGAGACATATTTTGAACAAAATCATCAGTTTCGGACCTTTTTCTTTGTTTTTATTATGAACAACTGATTTTTTTGTTTTTACAGCCCAAACATATTTTGGTTTATTTTGTTGTTGAAAAGTTTTCGAATTTTTGTTCAACCATTTGCGATTGTGTTTTGATTCGAATAAAATTGTTCTTTCGTCACACTCTCATTATCTTCTTCTACCAACTTTTTCAATTCTAAGTTTTATTTTATTAGTATTTCCTTTTTAATAAAGACTTGATTTGGAAACACAACATTATCTGTACCCTTGAGTCTAGGATAAACCACTATATTTGATTTAAGATAATGTTTTCTTTTGTCTTTTAACACTTTCATGTACTCCTCTGAATCTATGAAGACTTGATCTACCACAACTCTTGGAATTGGTTTCTCATTCGAAACATCATCCTCATCACTTACATAGTCCTCAACCACAATAATATCATAAGAATCACAAATTTTCGATGTCGAAAGTTGATCACTATTTACTTTTGACATTGAATCATTACATTCTTTACCTTTATCCACTGAATTAACATTAATGTCAGACAATCGTGAGCAATCGACACATTCCTCTGCCTCAATTTCACTGATATTGTCAGGATTATCTTAGATATCAGCAAAATTTTGTTGAGAACCAAGTGTCGATTTCTCAGTCATGTTCAAAATATTGACTTGTTCATTTTTGGTTAAGGTTTCATTCACAATTTTTACAAGATCATCAACATTCAAACATTCATTTATATTTACAATACCATATGCGTAAGAATCATTTGGAATTTTATCATATTCAGCTATATTACTTTCACAGTCATATGTTGTTTCATCAAATTGTTCTCTTTCAAACGAATGGAAAGGAAGCAATTTCCAATGATGTTCATCACATGCCAGCTGAATGATAAAATTTTGTTAGTTTAACATACAAACGCTTAGCATAATTACAATATATGTTTCTTTGTTTAATAAGCATCGAAATGTCCATTCTAAGTGAATCTTTATCCGTTAAAAGATTTTTTATTCTAAGATCAAGAGATTCCACTAGTCCATTCTTTTCTTCGAGTCTATTTCTAGCTTCATATAATTGGGATTTGGACTTTTCTGCTTCACTACTCATGGAGATTAACATGTCATTAAGATAAGCACACATATTATCACTTCGTCCGGAAATTGTGGTTTTTCCAAAATATGTCTCAAACTCGGTCCTGTAAAAAGAATTAATACAATAGAAATTAAAAAAAAATAACTAAAAGAAGTTAATAATCCTATAAAGTAATATTCATTAATATATATAAATATTTAATATTAAAATTAATATTTATTAATATATAATAATCCAATAAAGTTAATCCAATAAAAAAGAAATTAAAAAAGAAATCAATACCCCAATAAAATAATATTATTAATATATTAAATATTATATATTAAAAATAATATTTATTAATATATAATAATCCAATAAAAAGAATGAATCAAATAAAAAGAAATTAAAAAAATTAATTAAAAAAAAAAACTAATATATAATACTTCAATATTGTTAGAAAGAAGATATGCAGAAATGGTCCATATGGTTTGGTAAAAAGTCAATTGCAGAAATGGTCCCTAAGGGTAAAATAGTCATTTTAAAAAAGTTAACAGTCAAACAGTTAAAGTTAACGACATAGGGACCAAATCCGTACAAGGTATTCAAAATTGGACCACTGGTGCACCACCAAACCTTTTTGGATCAAAACTGCATAATTTTGACAACCACAGAGACCATTTTTGCAATTTTGTCTTTAACAAATGGTCCTTTTAGGTGACACCGTCATTTTTTGGCCGTTAATAGAATGACATTTCCGTCATTTCACAAAACAGGGACCATTTATGAAGTTTTTTCTTTATTTAAAAAAAAAAAGAAAAAAAAAGCCTAATATCCCATTGCCACTACTTCCAACCTCAAATCAAATAACACACAGACCCTATCTTCCAATCAATTACAAATTGAAACTTCATGATTCTATAAGGAAAATAAAAAAGCCTAATATCCCATTGCCACTGCTTCCAAAAACGTAATCCAAAAACCACCTAAAATATTTTTACGAAAATCACATACAATTAATATCCAATCTAAGAACTTTACCTCCAATATTAATATCAGTCTAATCCATTTTAATCATCAACTTCTCTAATTTAAAATCTTTATTGAGCTTGAATGAGCTCTTCTAAGCAAATCGATTGTTCAAGAACGATATAGATATTTGTTTTGCTGCAATAACCTGTTATGAGGTAAAGGAAATTAATAGATAAAATCATAAAACTATCAATATCACAACCCTCCTTGTCCTCTTTCTATATTCAGATTCATAAAAATTCTCAGTAATATAAATTTATTTTACATGAGTGAGATTTATTGACCTCCAATCATAAAAAGTAAAAGCTAGATGTACAATTACAAGTTATGGCATGATACATTTAATGAGTAACAATTCAACGATATTGACCACTTATTATACTTAAATATCAATTCCAATTAAAAATTGTAAGAATGAAACACCAATCTCGGTGAGACATTTTTACAAACACCTGGACGAGCTTACAAGTTTCTTACATTGTTCACCAAAAGAACTTTCAGACCTACTTATATAACTACAAAACTGGAAATATCTAATCTATAGATTCAAACAACATGGACTAACTTGATAATTTGGGGTGTTGAAGAAGAAATAGAGAACATAAACCTCATACCTGAAAACCAAGAACCCATGGAAATTTGAATACGTTCATATGTGGGAAGTTGAGGGGTGTTGATGTTTAGAAGCGGTGGTATGTCCTGCGGCATGTGTATAAACAATGAAACGATAGAATAGTCGGTGAAATTGATGAGGCTACAAGACATTTTATATATGTGTACTATTTCAGTAATCCTAATGTGAATATTAACATTTGATTATTCATATATTCAAAGATAATTTTTATATCTATTTATCTCTTATAAAGGAGACTCTAAATAAATAGGCTTAATGACCTAGAAAGGTAACGAACTTTTGTCTTTGTCCACATTTAGGTAACCATGTTTTTTTTGTTCACATTTGACCATTGAACTTGTTTGACTTGAATAGGGTAATATGACCGGTAATTACGGTAATATTACCCTATTATGAACACGTCAAACAAGTTTATTGGTATAATGTGTACGAAAAAAACATGGTTACCTAAATACAGACAAAAATCAAAGTTTCTTACCCGTTTAGGTAATACTGGACAAGAACCGTCTTAGGGACTGTGTACCCTGGGATCAGGCT